CTATTCTCAAATACTTAAGAGATTGCAGAACTGACATGGGCGTAGGGTACTAGAGAGCATCACATTTGGGCTTACTAATGCTACTTCAGCTAATCACACGTCCGTCCACAGCCGACTGCTAACTGGTAGATCCCCAAACCCATAAAACTCGAGCAAACTGAATAGCTTGTCAACAATCAGCCTTTGTTTGTTAGTCAACACTTGAAGGTTTTTGTAACTTTAACTTAGGAAACAAGTTCAGACATCCACTGGCAACATTTATAGACATCTCACAACCTACCAGGTGAAAAGGCTGTAAGTCGAATAGCAACGTAAGCAGACGCCGAGAAAGACGGGCTACAGTCAAAAACTTGGTGTACGCACTTTTTGCCTGGAAATTTTCGATGAGCCGCAGGTAGAGAAGTATTAGTGTGATCTTAAATATTCACCGGGTCGTTAACAGTTATATGCAAATAGAGGCGAAGAGGCAAGTTACAGGAAGTAGTCGCGAAGAAGGAGACATGATCGCTGGAAAAAGAGTTTTATTAGTCTGACGTTTCGGATTCTCACTTGAATCTGACTCTGTCTCTGATGATGGATTCGAGTGAGAATCCGAAACGTCAGGCTAATAAAGCTCTTGTTCGAGCGATCGTGTCTCCTTCTTCGCAATTACATGCAAGTTCATGCTTTATAAAAAAGCAAGGCGAATTTCTTATTTGCAGTGTACACTGCACTTCATAAAATACCAGTCAGTTTCCCCTAACATGCAACTAACTCAGCTCGTACTAAGCGGTGTTTTAGTTGACACGCTTTACTTGAACGGATGGAAAAAATGGTGAGGTGGTGGAAAGGTACTCAGCACAGAATCGCCTTTTACGATAAAAAAGGAGAATTCACGCACCAGGAAGAGCAGTTCATTCAGTTGAGCATTTAAACTGGTTCTAAGGTCTATCATCAGAGCCAGACTGAAGAACACGGACCGCTTGATGATTTGCGAATGTCACCCCAAATCGATGCAGAAATTTGCAACTGCTCTAGACAGAACGATGCCATTTAAAGTAAGTGGCAGTTATTCGTTCCTCTTAAGTATGAAATAAACCGTGGGCTTTATCTAGTTATCATGCAGAGATCTAGAGGCTGAGGCTAACTAGCGATATTTTTCACATTTGAAAATTTGGACGAGAAAGGAGGACTAATGTTTCGTTGGTAGCACTGGACTACGTTTCTTTTTTACGTTTTCTTTTTTTATGCCATTGGCTACTTCAACAACCTTTTCCGTAATCGTTCCGCCACATTCACATCGTCTCGTTATGCTAGCAGACTTTGCAACCACTTTTTAGTTGTGTGACTAGACGCTAAATTCAATGTCCGTGTCAGTTAAATGGGTCACTTTGCAAGCTGCTTCTGAAAGCGCTTGTTTATTCTATGTTTGAAATTTTAGACATGCTCTCTGAACTCCCTATAAATCAATCGACCCAGTATTCGTAGTGGCGTCGTCTTAACTCGTTTGTGAGTCCATGGCGGTTAATTGGAGAATAAATAATTAACTTTTAACTATTTTTCCCTTTTCCTTCTAAACAAACTCGTAACATGTAAGGAGGCAGACCTTGTGGAGTACTACCTCACTAAACGAATGAATTATCACCAAGTTTTTCCTGTCTGAATAGGAATACTCGTGGCAGACCGCTTTTAATGGAAGAGTTTTCTTGAATATTTTCTTTAGCTCCAAGTGATCAGAAATAACGTTGAGAAGAAACTTAAATCTTTTCATGTAAAAGCAGCTATTTTGGCAGAATACATGACCAGCAGTCACCGACCTTCATAGGACGAACGTGTAGGTTAGCGTGTATGAAAAACCCATGCTACCATCGTTTTTCAGTAGTAGTTATATATTCGGTTTTCCTTTGGTTTCCAAGTCAAGCTTGCTTTCCTGTAGACAAAAATCAGAGCTTAAGGGAGGGACAGTATCATATGATTAACCCAAATAAACTTTACATGTTCTGCGATGATACCCGCTTTAACATTTACGAGGTCAAATTCGGCGGACGTACGTCTTCGATCATTCACCTCCAGTTGAAAACCTGTGAATGAACAGTAGCCATTGGGGAGAGGGTTGTGTGGGTGTTCAGACATGTCAGGCATCGGGGGTAATTGTAGTCTAATTCTGGCAGGTTCACAGGGAGGGAAATGGTGAAGGAGGTAGGGGAGTCTGATAGAGAGATGCGTTTAAGGCTTGGGACTGTGGCGCGACTTGGCAGGATGCGGAATTGAACATGTGGGACTCAGCTTCGGTCAGGAGGGCTTGGTGACATGTATAAACGCCTTCTGCAAGCACACGGTCTGATTGGTTAACCATATAAGAACTGCCTCTGTTGTTATGAATATCCGCTGACGCAATGACTTGAAGTGCCTAGCTGGCACATTAATAGATGACATTAAATGTTTGGTTGACGTTTACCGGTGGCCACCGTCAACCAAATGAACCAAAAAATGCTAAAGTTGAAATTTACTGTGCTTTTATTTAGCCACGCAGGATGGTGCCCTCGCATCCGTTTGGATAGGCGCCTAGTCTTTCAATCAATGCAACCTACTCGGCAGGAGTAATTGAAAGCCTAGAGGTGCATGAAAGAAGTTCGAAAGAGGAACCTACCCCTAACTTCAACGCGAAGAATCGGGGCGCTAAAGGAAATCAGTCTTATCTTCGTGACTGGGTACGTGAACACAGTAACAGAGTTAAGGCAACGTTGTAGAAGTTCACTGGCCTGCCCCCACGAGATAGCCAAGTCGGAAATCGTTCCTTCATTTTCGGCCGTCGGCACGTCTGTCTTTGACGGATATTCTTCGATGTATCTAGTGACAAACTTGTCAGAGTGTTTCGCGTAAAAGAGAGTTCGTTCTCCAGCTCAGCCATGTGCTCGCAAAAGGCATTTGTGCGAGCTCCCAAGTTCCCCTAACCGAAGCTCTGGGCAAGACTCGGTTACGCTCTCCAGGTCCCAAAAACGCAAGGATGAGTGCCTGTAGTAAGGGAACAGTGGTAATAGGGGTTTTACGGGTGGGACAGGAAAAAACACGTAGGAAATGACCCAGTGCTTACATATTATTGAGTAATCGCCTGAATTTGGGCTAAAATCGCAGTGTAACTGACGCACAATTTGGGAATGAGGTAAAATAACCTGAAAAAACCAAATCCCGTTCCAAAAAATGTAAATGAATGGTCAAGTTCAATGAAACTGAAACGACTGCAACACAGACCATTTGGAACCTGGAGGCGCCGATGCCGTGGACAGTGGATATTAAATCTGCAAAATAAATAACGAAACAAGCAGCAACGCAGAAACTACTATGATTAGGTAATAAAACGAAAAGAATGGCAAATTTAATGTAAACAATTGGCAAAAAATGTTCTTCAGGTGATGAATTAAAGGTTTGACTACAAGGTCGCAAAGCTGTGATTGTACTTTAAGAAAAAGAATAACGGAGTGTTGGTAATTACCAAAAAGTACAAAATGTTTGCGGATACTCAATTAAACCGATTACTTTCCCTATATTTTTGTAGGGTCGGATGTGGTTATGTAGCCCCACCTGAAGTAAACAAACCCCAGTCACCTCTAATACGGGACCGGTGGTAATAGGGCTTTTTACAGGAGGGGACGAGGAACGCACAGGCGACGAGGTCAAGTAGTTGCAAACAAAAGAAGAGCTGTTGGGAGTGCGTGGTTGTACTTTCAATGGTGTCGGAATAGTTGCGCTAACCTAACCCTTATCCTAAACCCCAACCGCTAACCCTAATCTTTAACCCCAACCCCAACAGTATTGCGTGCATCAGGTGAGGCTTAAATACATCGTACTTTTTGTAGAACCGAAGGCACTGCTAGTCGTAGAAGGAGAGGATCATAAGGACCTTTAACGTAACTCTAAGTCTAACCCCGACCCCAAAGCTTATTTTAAAGGTAACCTTTGTCGTAACTTTAAACGTAACAATAAACCGACAATCAGAGAGGGCAATCCAAGCAGTAACTGTAAAACAGCCAACAAAACTTGCCACAGAAATCCTAACCTAATCCTGGAACTAAAGGTAACCCTCACCCTAACCCTAGAAATAAACCTAACCACAACCCTATAACTACCCCTACGAACCTAAAGCACACCGTTAACGTAATACGAAGCCTAACCGCAACCCAAACGGTTGTCCTAAAAGGTAGCCCTAATTTTAATCTTAAACCTAACGCACACCCAACAACCGGAGACCGTCATCCAAGCAGTGACGGTAAAATACCCACCAAACATACCGAAGGAGTCCTCATCCAACCCTGATTCTAAAGATTTTCCTATAGATAAACCTTATCGTAGTCCTAAAAATAAACCTAACCTTAGCCTGTCACATTCAACTACCGGTTCTCAATGCTGAATACTTATCAAGGTGGGCAGTTCTGACAGAGGGCTTCTATTACCTGCGATTTAACGTTCGCAGACACGCCTTCCGGATTTTAGTCTTACGAGTGGGAATTAAACTGCTCTTTACTACTCTGGAGATATATGAGACCTTAGAAGCCAATATGTTTTCCTGACAAAGGCCCTCCCCGGAGTTTACTTTATCTCTTTTGAAACCATGGTCATACCAAAATCGTTGGTATCCATAGCCTCTGCTGCGGCCGATCATGCCTAGGGTAGTGTAACACTTCCGTAAACGCAAACGTCAACTCTAATTGGTCAATGTTTGACCAATGAGCACACAGGCTCGGGCAGAGAGGCGCGTCCACGCGTGTCACCGCTTAAAGCCTGGTGGTCACGGTGACTATGTGAGGGAGATTTGCCCCACCCCGTAGCGGGCTTAGAGACCTGCTACCGCTTTGAAATGGGAAGGGTTGGGTGAAAGGAGTTTCCACGCCGCTGCGGGGGCGGGGGGGGGGAACTAGACCGGTGATGGTGTCTGTCGGTCAAATCAGCGAATCAGATGATGCTGTCGCTTTACCTACCACTACAGCTTTATTATTCGGCACTCTAATAGAATTCTTGGTAAAATGAACAAGCCCGTCACATCTTTCATGATAGATGACCTCCTAGTAAAGCGTCCTAAGAGGAGTGAACCATTTAAGGACGTAGATACCGGTCCAACAACCATTAAGCTAGGAAGACGCGGCATCATGAAAGAGGCTAGGTACGAAAAATTGTGGAAATTGCTTACCATCTCATATTCTTTGCAGCCTCCCAATTTCGCGGGGCCAAGAAGACCAACCACAAGCTGCTGAAGAGTGTGAGGATCGTCCTTCGAAAAATTCATGTGAGTGTGTCTCTTATGGAATGAAATGTTCATTCAGAACTACACCCTCCCTGCGATTTCCTCTCCCACCGATGGATGTACTGAGAGGAATTTTGCATGAGCTTTGTTGATGGAGAAGCAACGTTCCCCAAAATAAAAGATATTTTATCTTATTTAATTTTCGAGGAAATTAATGCGCGAACTTAGAGTAGATTCTTCGGAATAGACCTTTTCAGGCACGGTCCAAACTATTTGAACTAATGTACATCAGCTGCTGCGCGCAATATGCACAAACCGTCAACAGGCAACCAATAGTATACAACTTACTTTACTGGCAACACAGGTACTAGCTAAAAGCCCAGACACGCGTGTTTCGCCGATGTTGTGCCGCTGCCTGATGCAGCTGTGAGGGGTTCGGCTAATCAATTCGCGCAGTAATTTCCTCGGAAATTAAACAAGGCAAGGTGAAACTGGAGTTCGTATTAGCAGAAAACACATGGGGAAGGCTGGAGGACTTGCCAATGAACCGAACCCCTCGCAGCTGCATCAGGCAGCGACACAAGATCGGCGAAGCACGGGTGTCTGAGTTTTTAGCTAGTACCTGTGTTGTCAGTATGGTGAATAATTACACAAAAGATACTTTGTTAGCTTAGATGTCTCTGGGCACTTGTGCTAAGTTGAGACATCGTTGCTTTTTAATTTCCTCAGAAATTGACTGCGAACTTGGAGTAGATCAGTATATTCTAGGTCTGTAGGCCATAAGTTAAACGCGATCACTGATGCGGCATCAGGACAGTCGCTTTAAGATGAGAGAAGCGCGGATGCGGAACGTCGAGACTAGTTTTTTTTGCCGTTTTATCAGTCCGAACTCAAACCATTTAGGTGGGTATGAGTTCCGAGCAAAAGTAACATATTAATAATACTTCGTCGTATTTTTTTCGCCTACCGAGCATTTTCTTGATTTCTTTGTTTAAATCAGTGATTAGAATGAGGGCTTTTCATAGGGTAAAACAGTTTTAGCGTCCAAACTAGGTAAAATGTGCAAATATACACGGATTTTCGATGCAAGGAGGGCTCTTCACTGAGAGGTCGTCTTATATGTGTGTGTTTATAACCCCCCCTCCCCTTCATTCTCTAGTAGTCTCAGTCTCGATACCGGAGTCTGGAGTGTTTTCTATTCGTCATTGGCTCACGCAAGGGGTAGCACACAGTTTTGCCGAAAATGGTCATTGGCAAGAGGTCCCTGAAAGTACGAGTGCTGTTGTCAGAACCTCAAATGCTTCCCCGCCCTCGCCCTCCTCGACAATCGAAGAGTCCGTAAAGAAGCCCCGCAAGGCGAGAACGGCCTTCACCGATACCCAACTGGCAGAATTGGAGGCCAACTTTGAAAAACAAAAGTACCTTAGCGTCCAGGACCGCATTCAGCTGGCAAGTCGCCTGAAGTTGAATGATACGCAAGTTAAAACATGGTACCAAAACAGACGGTGAGTTTTGAGACCTTAGCTCGTCTGCAAACTATCATTGCGAAACATTAATGTTATATTTCTCTCGCGCGTTAGTTTTGTTCGCATGGCGCCTGATCGTTTTCGTTGTTCTTAATATGAGTCGGGTGAGAAAAACAAAATCGCTTTTTCCTTTTACCGACGATTAAGTTAGGTCGGAAAATTGGCCTTCACGTCAAAATTCCAAAAACAGCACGGATATAAGAACGCTAGGCCTTATCCTCCTTCCTGAAGCAAGTTACTCGGCCTCAAACCCTGAGTCATCCCAAGCCATGACAAAAGATAACCAGAAACGACTAATTTTGAGTGTATTTCAACCCTGAAAATTTGCTCTACTATATGCTTGGATAATTTTTGGAACAAACAAGGAAATGCATTATTTCATTGTAGGCGGCGGCAGCATCCCAAACTTCTATTATATTCAAATTCTTATCACTGTGAACAGCAAAGATGACTTAGTGCGCCGGATATGAAGCAGCACTGGCAGTTTGAGGCTTTAGTCGTAGTATAAAGGGTGTTTAACTTCGTTAACTCAGTTTATCGTGGCTGCCGCCAAAACAAGTGCATAATAGGAAGTGGAAGTACTTTTGTTGTGACGTTGTAATGACTGGGTTGACATTTAGGTATAAAATGTCGAGCACTGCGTATGTGTGGAAACATTACTTAAGACGCTGTTGGTGGTCGTTTCGGATGAGTAAATCTCCCGACTGTGTTTAGGATCTTTCTGAGACAATCATTTGAATATCTAATTCTGTCAAATGCAAATCGAATTTCTTTATGCACTATAGAACACTCTTATTCTGCTGGTAATTTCTCAATTTTATGTGTTAATTTTAGTTGGTGTCAAATTCGCCACCCACAATGTGTGGTCGAACTTATGACCTATACGCAATCATGCAAAATCCTCTCATAGATGTGTGATCGAGCCGAATTCATAGCACAAAGTGCGCAACTATTCAAAGAATAAAACAAAAGCTAGTAAAAATAGTAGTACACTGGTTAGAAATTACAAGCTTTTGCGAAAACCGGAAATTCCGAAAACGCAAAATTTTGCGTTAAATGAGTCAACTTAATTTGGAGAAGTATTTATTGTATGCGCATTCACAACTTAATTTAATAAAAAGTCGTCAACACGATGGCGTTTAAGGAACCCTTTTCGACAAGCTTTCAAAGTCTTATGTACAATTCAGCATGATAGTCAGTCGGCTGCTTTATGTTTAGCGATGTGCTTCGACGTTGTATTCTGGGGTAATGAAAACCAATAAAAAGTAACATTAAGCTAACGGAATTGCTTTATAGGCAAAAGTTTATTCTTAAAACCTAGGAATCTCTTTAAGTATTAGTGTCGGTAATAACATACTGCTTAATTCTTTCGCTTCTCGAGTTGTACAACGTAAGGCACTGCTACTTCAAGAATGAGAGGGCCGTAAGTAGACAGAAGCACGAAGGACAGGAAATTACATCATTTTTTTGATTCTACTGACATTGTCTCTTATCTGCGTGAAAGAAAACTCCCACCATGGAACCCTATCTGTCGCTGCAAGATAACAATGCGACTGTGCAAATTCAAACGACATATGGACGGTTACACTTTTAAGTGCAGTAGGTGTGTAGTAAGAAAAACATTGAGGAGTAGGACCATGTTTGAGAGAAGCAAACTGACGGTTAGGAAGGCCGTGATGGCATTTTATAATTTGCTTGGAGGAGTAAGGATAAGGCGCTATGCCAGAGCGGTATGTGATCATCGCGCAACTGCAGTGGAATGGTAACGCACGTGCAGGAAAGTCTGTTCGAAGGTATTAATAGCTATAAGGGGCCAGCTAGGTGGAACAAAAATTGAAGTCCAAATAGATTAAACACTAATAAGTAGAAGGAAGTATGTCAAAGGAAGACTACGGCGATAGCACTGGGTAATGGAAATGTATGACTTTCAATAAAGGAAAGCTATTTTCGAGCAAGTGAGTAACCGCACGTGGTCAGCACTGAAAACAGTGATTATGAAGTGGATAGCGAAGGGTAGTGCCATAGTGACGGATGAGTGGAAGTGTTATACCCGTCTGTCCACAGTCGGGTACGAAGACTACACCGTTAACCATAGCCGAAAGTTCGTCGACCCCACCGCGGGTAGGCATACTAACGCGACAGAAGCCGACTAGAGCCGCCTAAAGAGGAAGCTGCAGGAATGTGAACCGGTTTCCGGTAAGGCAGTATGGGTGCATGTGGACGAAGTGCAATACCGTCTGTGGTACAACGTAAGGGAGAATAACCTACCGGATGCATGGGAGATCTTCGTGCAACACATATCCGAGGCCTACTCAGTGAACCTAGCAGCCACCGAGGAAAGGAAACGAACAACAACTGCCGACCAGCAGTGGCTAAAGGCCAATAAAAATCTGCTGAAAGAAATCCTAACGTTTTTGAAGTACTGAAAGATTAGAAGACAACGGCATAGGGAAGGCCCCCAAGAAATGCACGACTAGTCCCAGACGCCCGTATTACGGGAAAGATGGTAATGGAGCTTTTACGGGTGGGGCCATTGGATGCGTAATAAGCAGGCATTTTAAATAAAGGCAATTGTTTAGCTTGTTTTTTGAACCGAAAACTTTTTACTGCATTAACATATAATATAGCCACTATATATAACGATTATTTTTCATTTTAGAGTTTGTCCTTAATAGGCTATTATTTTCTAAATATTGCACGTAATTGGAAGCGGCAGCCGAAGGGAGTGCTCATGCTCCGGCACGTCTTTGAAGTAAGACCGAAGAAATATTGGAAGAGATAAATTCGGAGAAGGTAGTCGAGTACTGCCAAAAGAGGGGACTGCTTCCGACCGCATTATTATGCAAATGTAAAAGTCAAATATAACAGCAAATCAGGAGGCGACACTCGTATGAATATGTTTTTCGGCGCATCCGATGCCGAAAGAGAAGGTAATTGAGAGGTGGTATGATTTTTAAGAACAGCCGGCTAGTGTTGGAGACAATTATGAAGAGTTGGATACTTTTTCTAAAAGGAGTAAGAGTGACGGCTTGGGAGAAGGATGTCGGCGTCGCGCATGTGGCGGCGGTGGAGTGGTACACGCTGTGAAGGAATGTATGCACTGTGACTCTTACGAAGCAAACGAAACAGATAGACGGACCGGGAATTGAGGTCCAAGTTGATAAAACGTTAATAAGCCGACGTAAATACCATGTTAGTAGACGCAGAAGGCAATGGTGGCTCGTAGGAATGTACGATACGAGGTGGCGAAAGGCAGTGTTCGAGCAGGTCAACGACAGAAGCTGACCGGCTCTGCGCGTCGTCATTACCAAATGGGTAGCAAAGGGCAGCGTCGTCATGACGATGAGTGGGAAGCCTACAGTCATCTCCCGTCGGAGGGATATGTCAATTTTACCGTACATCACTCAAACACTTCAAAGACCCGACGACTGAAAGGAACACAAATGCAACAGAGGCATATTGGAGTGATTAAAAAGAACGCTGTACGAAGGAGGCCCGGTTTCCGGTCGAGCCATTTGGGCTCATATAGACGAAGTACAATATCGCCTCTGGTTTGACCTTAATGTCGTTGGACTGAAGGAAGCATGGGTGGTATTCTTGTCTCACGTTGCGGAGGCTTACCCAGCAGAACTTATTCTGGAAGAAGCTCCCAATATTGTAAGCTAATTGTCTTACATAAACTTCTTGCAACCCTAACTGCCTTGATTTTCCTAATGCTTTTGGACCGCAGCGTAGTGTTGAGTTAGCCGTCTGTCTTTTTTAGCATGAAAGCTTCGGATTTCTGCCTGTGTGCAAGTAATTTTCGAGTACACGCCGCGTACACGATCAGGCAGTGACGAATCAATGTAGTCAACCGGAACATAATCGGACGACTACACGAAGAATGCCGCCCATTTGAAAGACAGACTGTAAACGTTAACGATAGCAAGCACGTTGAAGCATTAATGTCATGACAAAGGTAACTTTGGCGGTTATGGTACACTACGTGATCATGACTGTCGCCTAGCAGCAGTCGTAAAGGAGTGCGTGCTAGTTAATTCCAATGTTAACCGCAAAAGATAAGGTGAAACGTCGAGGTAGCGACTTATTTTACCATTACGTAGTCTATCGACTACAAGAAAGATGCCGTTGATTTTGAAGGAACACTGTAAACGTTACCGGTAGCCAACACGATGGAGTTTGAATGTCATGGTAAAGGCAACACTAAACTACGGAATCATGACTGTCGCCTGGCAACCGTCGTAAGGGGGTACATGCTGGCCAATGCGAATGTCATGGTAAAGGTAATACTTGCGTCTCTAGCTAAAAATGCCGCAACAATGCATAAGGTACATAATGCGAAGCCAATCTACAACGTCCTCTATTAAGAAGCTTTGTCACACTGTCGCCTCTCAACGGTCTATGTTAAACGCATGATGGATTATTCCAAGGAAACTCAGATGACGTCTTCCCAATCGTATGAGCAGCACTCTACGAAACAGTCACTGGGAATTGCAAGGTAAATGCCAAGGTCCATGGCCAGCCTCCGAGTGCGCCCCCATGTTTAGAAGAGGCGCCAAGTTCAGCTATCGCTTCTCAACTCTCTGAACTAAGGTCATGTTGGGTTATCCTACGGCAAAGTAGTTGATATATTTCCAATTGTATGCAAAAGACTCAACAGCTTCTCAATCGTTTAAACTGAGGTCTACGATGAACGACCCATTGGATAGGCTGATGCCCGAATTATCAGAGCGCAGCCCATGCTAAGGAATGCTTAGGTGAGGGGCATGACCCGCGATTAAGGAGTAAAGGGCGGCGGCCGTTTCTCAACTCTCTGAGCTAAGGTCATGGTGGCTTATGTATCGGGAAGCCAGATGATAGCCTCTCAATTAAGTGTGCGAGGGACAACGGTGAACGACCATGTTTAGGAGAGTATCGAATAAAACACGACCTACTTAAACACGTATAGAAGACATTCTTCTGTACGCCGTAGATACATGAGAT